AAAACGAGAAGGAACATTGGAGAATGGTCTGTCTCGCAGATCATTTATCTATAACGTGTTCAAGAGAGTTTCCGAACGAATTGGAAACTATGAATTATCGTGGACAACTCCTTCTGTGAAATCAAATGATGTCGTATGCAGCTTCAGCAGGTTTGCATTGGCTAAAGCTGATTTTATGTCATACGGCTGCGAACACTTGCAATGCGTTGTTTCAGGATATGCGTCGCGAATAAACGAGATACACAGCGCTGTCCATAGGTGTTCTTTTATTATTACTACATCGTGATGTCCAGTGTGCAGCTTTCATATCCGGTTAGGAAATCTACAGTATGACTGTCCATTCAATTATCAATGGGTTGTTCCTTGTGTTCATATATTTTTTTGTTGCATGCTTGCGCATGAGTGCAGTGGAAGCGATAGGTATCCCGTGGTCACAAAGGCCAGCTACGCCATTAGGGATAACTGGCAACCAGACTTTTGATTGTGGAGTGACAGAGAACTATCTAATGTCCCGAATTTGAGTATTTAGGGAAATCGATTTTCCCGTAGAACAAACAGAATCGGGCCAGTGGTACCGCGCGTATTCCGCACAATCTGTTCGTATGCAAGTGCTGCCGTTGTCCTGCAAACCACAAACAGTTTCACGAAATGCAAGAAAATATCAAAATAACACTATGCGAAGATGTCACGAGTTTACCCATCGCCATCTTGATCAGAAAGTTTAATGAGAACCTCAGATACACACTGTCACAATGTAGACAATATATGCTCATCGATTTGCTTCATTCTAGTGCGAGGGTTATTATAGTATTTGGCAGTGTTGCTGATGAACATCCTAGACCAAGTGGACAACGAATTGTATCCTACCACTGGAACCCATTTCCCACCTAGAATCCAAATACCCAGTACTGGCAATGGTTCACATACAAGAAAATATCATAATCAGATGAGAGGTATCTAAGTGATGGCCTATTCGCAGTAATAGGACATTGACTGCAAACTTTGAAGTTCTGTAAACTGTGCATTCTGATCTCAAAGCCATTCAGGGCTAAACACAAAAGTCGACATCGTGAACCAACACCATTCCCAATCCCGGGGAACATTTGCTTTGTTTGCAGACTACCAAAGCCAACGATGTACCTGGACAGGGTAGTTCGGTTGGTTTATTTTGCCTGTTTTACGCTAGTGGTACATTTCCAACGCACAATTTTCAGGAAGGAGGTAGGCTATTTGTGCCTGCACCCTCTCGTATGGTGGCACACCATAAAGAGCGGGAGACCGCGAAAATGGCTACCTTCGGGGGACCAACAGATTGTGAATATACCGTTTCATGTTTTCAGTGTCGCTGACCGGTTAATTCGTCACATAACTCTTTTTCCACTTCCACAACTGGAGATTGGTCATCTAACGAGCGTTCAATGTACATACAGAGTGCAGTGTTGCTTGGCGTTTCATTTTATATTATTGAGTCATGGTCTTGCACCTGGGATATATAACTGGTTACCACAGTGTGTTTTTGATAACCAAAGATAGATAGCAAATTTCAAAGGGAAATTCTTAGGTTATGTGAACACTAGCTAAAAATTTAACGGCAGACTGAGCTAGCTAGAGATCACTGTTTGCTGGCTTTTGAGAAGCAGCGGCTTCGAAGGATGACATTGCGGGGGTCAGCGCACAACATGGCAATTCTAATCACGATTGTATTACAGCAGCATCGGACAGGTTACAAAGCTACTCCAGAAAGTAGGCGAAAATACTACGACAATATTGGATAGAAACAAAAGCTGTGTTGATCACAGCAGCAAACATGATGATGCATTTGCTGTCCAGGACAAATCCCCTTCCACGGTGCTATCACCACTGTTGTGGCATAATTCAAACAGTAAAGGGGGATTTCATTTCTATGAAATGTTTCTGCCGGTGAACAATTTTGATACTGCAACGCCGGTAAAGATTTACATTTAGCGACGTTGGCACATGTCTGTTCACCGTGGTTTTTATAGCATTTTGATCTGAGTAAATCTCCTCTGTGCCATGATTTCATTCCCAATGATTTCAAAGGTTTAATTTCAATAAAACTGGAACACTGTCATCCCATTTATCGCGTGTTTTCAACAACGGTTTGAGAGTGGCGATATATTTCATTCACAAAGTTTTTCCAGTTACACTACTTACATCTCCGAGAAGTCGTTACCACCTAGGACTACATGGTTGTGTCTTCCTCAGCAGTGCTGCCATCTTAACTTCATAAATTTATCTTTTCTACCAAGGAATAACTGAGCCGAGCAGATATGCCCTTTGCTCGCCTGTGTGCCTTGTTGCGTATGCCAATTTTTCGTAAGAGCAAGCATCGTGAACGGCTGAAGATTGTTGCCACCAGTTGTCCTCGTTTGAAGAGGTCTCATTTTCCCACTTGGTCTCTTCAGCAATTTCAAAATTCCTCAATTTTCTCTCTTAGCATATTTCACATAATAATCAAATGTATGACAGAACCCTCTGCTGTCGCCTAAGTCATCAGGAATGCAAAAAATGCGAACTATTTGCATCATGACCCTAATGAAGCATGATTTCGCCTGAACATCAACCAAGTCTCAGTTGATCGAGGCCATGTTCGGTCAGTATAAACAATGCTACCATACTTCCTTATTATCCGTTTTGAATATCCTGTCTATGTGAAAATAGTCCGTTAAAAGTATTTCATCAGGCTCCGCCCTATTCCCAATTTTCCGTCCATACAAAGAAGTCGGACTATTTTATCCTTGAATTTAGCTTCTCCAGTTTGCTCCGGAAGCTTCAGCCTATTGGGCAATAAATAAACAGTTCCCTAGTCGAGGTCATTGACTCAGTTGCACATTTTACTTCTGGGATCGACTCAGAACTCGTTTCTGAGTTGACCTTTGTTTCGGTAACTACAACTATATGAGAAACTGTTTATTGGAGGTTATATGCTGCATTGTCTTTCACAACTGCTGAATTCCCACCAGGCAAATCGACGTCATAATGGACGTGTAGAATTGATGTTTCCTTCTTTTGTGCAGACATATCAGTTAACTTGACTGGATTTATCATCACTCTAGCCCAACAAGTTGCACTACCTACACCTCATCCTTGGTCCCCCTGTTTATTCTGACACCGCTTCAAGCTGACCCACTTGGAGCTAGACACTCCTCTGTTACTGTTTTACGTTCGCAGGACTCGGTGCCTTCCTAAGTCTCTGTCTTTTTTCTAGTGATCTCTGTGACCGGCATCTGCACCAGCTTCGAGAACCGCTTATCTCTCGGGGCTTCGTCTGTTCACCTAGCGAGTTGGGACATCAGCACCTTTGTAATGATTACAGACGAAGGATTGACGAACACATCATCCCGTTTGGTTAATTTGGGGTTATAAGGTGTGGCCCTCGAGTGTTTACCTCAGCAGTGCATGACGTGCGAATCAGACTATCTCTCCGTAAAAGTTGTGGAAAATTACTGACGGGGTGGCGGTGGTGGTGATTGTGTACCTTGACACAGTTCGTTCTACAGTACCTGATAAGTGGCGTCACAAGAAGCCTGCCAGTCATTCTAAGAACCAAGGCCAAACGCCGACGGTTTTCGTCCTTCCTGATGACATCGTCCATTCCAATGTCTCTTACTTTGGTGTCTCGTCTCATGTATTTTACTTTGTTATTCAAAGTGTTTATTTGCCTTTTGATAGTTAACTTCTTTCGTAAGTTTGACCCTGTCTTTTCTCCCTTTGGAAGTTCTCCGCCTTTTTCGAAAGTTTCGACCTGACTAATGGATTATACGTTTTTGGATGAGTTACTTTGATAATTTACTCTTTGAAATTCTGATTTTGTAATGTTGCCTTTCTCTCCAGCTCCCCCCGGAGTATGTGTAAACACTCATTTGATGATGTTAAACAATGATCGCATATCCATTTAAGGAGTGCGTTTTTGGCGTGGAGTTCGCTACCTATTCACTCAAATCGGAGCACTATTGATGGTGCCAAAGTTGGCGTTGATCACACCCCATAGTCTCGGTTTCTTCATTTGCTCCAAGGTATTATGTTCGATGTGAGATTCCTTTTCCAGTTTACTAATTGTGCAACTGATTTTAAATTTTCATCAACAAAAGCAATCTTGGAAACCAGAAAAAGGAGATGACTTTGATGAATTTAAAAACAGTACCATGAAAATATGTTACGATACGTTGCAGTGAGATATCAGTTACCATCGATACCTTCGAGTAAGTTCAAAAAAATCCTCACTTGGGGACCAAAATGGCTGACAAGTTTTTGGAAACAACAAGCTTTTCAAAGGATCAGGGAACTGAATAAGGAACCATGATATGTCAGTTTTTGTGGAGTAAGTTTTTAAACGGAGATAACTCCTGGAGTTTATTCCCTAATACCAGTTTCTTCAGAAAATAAATAATATGGTTATTTCATAAATGAAAATACGTTACCCAATCAAAAGTAGCAAACGAAGGCAGAACATGTACCGCTCCTTCGTTCATTGAAAAATATTAGTTTCGACAAATTTCTCTTCTGAAAAGTGTTCCAACCACTACAATTTGTGTAATATAGTTCCTTAAATCAAAACGAAATATTTCGTGAACCATTGTTCAAAGGTATTTGATGAATATCCTTCTCGTGAGCCAAATGCCATTCACTGAGTCAGTAAATTTTCCTATTTCAGGGTTGAGTGTAACAAGGTGCACACAACCACGTGATGTTTGAGATGGCTTGTGAATCGAAACAGTATATTGAGTTTTAGCTTGCTGTTCCTTTGTTCGCATCGTGCCATTTTCAAATTTTCTCTCACTAGATAGTTTCCCCAAGAGTGGTGGTATCAGTAGCCGCCCTTCACACCTTACGACAGTTCATGTGATAGGTCTCTCGCATTATTTCATGCGTTGCTAGTGACAATTCTCAGTGCATCAACAAAATGTTTTCAGAACAGAGAAAGAGAGGATTTCACTACAATAATAAATTTAGACCCTGACCACCGGGTCTTAGATGAATCAAACTGAGTTGGCAAAACCATCGCCGATTATTTCCTCAGTAGCGACAATAGCGATTGTTCGTGAGTCTGAATGAGTAAAGAGGAAATACAAATAACTGTGTGATATAGATGGTTAAGTTATTCAAGTACAAGATCGCAACTTGCCACGACATGGAGACAATGTCTTGTCTATAATCTCCGACTGAACACAATCAATGAAAGCCGAATCTTTCTAAATGGTCAAGTACATTCGATCATACTCCAAATTTTACTTCCAAGTTTCGTGCAGCCATTTACTGGCATAATTCATGTGGTCACCTCGTCACGTTTTCAGCAATATGTGTGAAAATCAATATATTTGATAACAGAAAGAATCAACCCGATGGTGACAAAAGATCAGAACGAAATATTTAGAGCATTCCAGATTACGGTCAGCGTTCGATTTATTGACACTAGACAGAAAGAAGGGCAATCCATGCTTGTTATAAATTCGACCTCATAGTATTTTAGCCGAACCATCTGATATCGTTGCGGGCCTTCTCATCGCTTCTAATCTGGCGGTTTTTATACCAATCGAACTACTAAGACTGTTTATTAAGTAGGCCAGTTTGGTACCGTCCTGTCACATGTGGTTTTGGAAACCACTTCGATCTGAAACTAATTATTCCTGCTTTGGGTAAAGTGACTATGTTCCGATTTATTCTGTAGATGAACAAGGAGAAACTTGATACGGATTTTCCTCTAAATGGTTGTATATATTTTTTTCTCTCGTCAAAACATTTTTTTCGAAAACAGAATTCCTACAATCAAGAAGGTTCACTAATCTTTAGACGTAATACCCCTGTTGAATAACCCAGAGGATTACTTTACTCACATCGCCAATAAGGCAGCACGCGTGAGCTTTGAAACTAATTTCCAGCATGTGAAATCTCAATGGAGAATCAAACTCATGGTCAATCAAAGAAGATGTGAACAAACGTGAACATCAGTCAAGCAGCTTTTGGATTATTGAGCTGAGTAAAACTGTACGTGGTCTCAAGCAGATTAACTCCTATGATAATTGAAACTAATCAAATTTGCGCATGAGATGCTAAAAAACACGGTGCTGAGTAGAAAAAACCTCCGTGTGTGTCTCACATCAGATTATCTGAGTGAAAAAAGTAACAGCCTATGTGAACAGTCTATCTGAGGCTTATTCCACCGGTTAAGTCTTTTTTGTATGATGTACAGATAGTTGCCCGTACTCTGAAGTTAAATCTGTTTATCTGTATGAGAAAATCTTTAAGGTGGTCGAAAACAACTGCGAAGTCAAAACCCGTGAATTTCAGGTTTGTTGACAAAACATATTTAATAACCTACTTTGGTTGGGATCAGTGAAGTACGAAGGCCAATCTTGTTTTTGCGCATATTCCATGAACACCTTCTTGATGAACCCTTTTGCCAACGAATTGTTTGTCAATAATGAACTAATTTGTTTCCACCGGAATACAGAACTTGCCGTGCTATTTAAAAGGGGAAACAGTACAAAAGCTGTGTCAAGCGACTCGTCCTAATATAAAACGGCCCTCGTGCACCGGATATATAAGTAATAAGATTCATTGGTTTGTCACTATTATATTGTAGAAAAACACTGTGAATTAGGGAGATTCGATCGCGAGATTTTTAAAAAGCGAATAAATAATGAACTTCATTCGCGGGGTAGATGTCCATTCAATCCAAAACAGCATCCTTATGGGCTATAAAAGCGGAGTAGAGATGGGATTCAGATAGATTTTATGTTCCCGTGAAATTAAACATTCAGAATAATGCAAACCCGCTGATGAGTAGCGAAATCCAAGCAGGTGTTCGAATCACAGGCCGGTTTGAACCACCTTAAAAACAAGAGCGAAAGTTGAAATATTATGCAATGAGGATTACTGTACTGAAAAAACAGGCATTGAAAGTAGAAAACTCAAAAAGATAACTCGCCAGTGGATGTTGCATCTTAAAAGAAACACAATTCGACAAATGAGGAATTAAACGACGTGGTATGATTTAAAGTATTAGATGTTAGGCGAAGGGAAGAGCAAAGTGCATGATGGAAACGATCTGACACATGTAAATGGGTAATAAAAAAGAAGAACCAAATGACCAGATATTATCAGATGAATAACGGGTTGCAAAAAGCAGACAATACAAAACGTAACAAATGGAACAAAGATGTGCTTTGCCAGAAGAAAAAAAACCATGATTTGAGCTTCAGCGGAAAATTTGAAAAACATTTTGGGAGAGAAGAAAGCACGAGAAAAAAATAAAGCTGGCGAAAAAATGAGAGAAACAAAATCCAAAAGAGCGCCAAAAAAAAATTCAGCAAATAAGATAGAGAACTCACGGAAAACGGTGAACAAGGAGAAGTAACAGACATCAGAAAAATCCAATCGACTACGAGGAAATGAGTTGAAAAAAAGACCAGAGAATAACAGACCAACTCGAACGAAATTAGTTGGATAGCATCGGATCAGTTGAATCCACGTCAGACATGATCAGTCGAGTGTTCTGTGCTCCATCAGCACATCTCAGACGGTCACGTTGATACAATGATAGAAGCTGAATAATTCAAACGTTTGAACTCGCATTGCAAATCGTGCAAAACTCGACCACTTCCACGTGCACGATGAGAATCGTAAAATGACGTTGGATTCACAAATGAATCATATTGGATGGAATGGAATGAAATGAATTTGGAATTCACGAAAATATGAACCACATTCTATACTGCATCGCAAACACGCATCAACTCTATCGCCAATTTATGTCTTCCTATTGTGCATATGTATGGTATAGTATAAACAACTAAAGACGTACTAATTTAGTTGAATAGACAGGTGGGTGGAAAATATGAGCTCACTTTCTGTGGTCATTGTGGAGCTGGGTGTAGATGTCTCACTGGACGTGGTGACGCCCGCTGTGCTGCCTGTGAATATATAGTTGAACAAAGCAGAGAGAATTTAGGCAATCAGTTTCAGTCGACAAGTGTGTCGTGTCAGTTCTCGCAGTTGTTTGATCGCAATTCGATCACCAATTTGGCCACGCTAATGCACGAATGCAGGCACTCGAAAATCTATTGGAGATCTGTACGCGTGCAAATCAGATTTCTCCGTCCGAATAAACTAGAAAAACCATACCTGATCAGTTCAATTTCATTCATATCACGCTTGTTCAGAAAAACAGGACGTTAGTTTGATGGAGATGATTTCTCCTCAGTTCAGTTCAGTTCAGTTCAGTTCATTTCAGTTCAGTTCAGTTCAGTTCAGTTCAGTTCAGTTCAGTTCAGTTCAGTTCAGTTCAGTTCAGTTCAGTTCAGTTCAGTTCAGTTCAGTTCAGTTCAGTTCAGTTCAGTTCAGTTCAGTTCCGTTCAGTTCATTTCAGTTCAGTTCAGTTCAGTTCAGTTCAGTTCACTTCAGTTCAGTTCAGTTCAGTTCAGTTCAGTTCAGTTCAGTTCAGTTCAGTTCAGTTCAGTTCAGTTCAGTTCAGTTCAGTTCAGTTTAGTTCAGTTTAGTTTAGTTCAGTTCAGTTCAGTTCAGTTCAGTTCAGTTCAGATCAGATCAGATCAGTTCAGTTCAGTTCAGTTCAGTTCAGTTCAGTTAAGTTCAGTTCAGTTCAGTTCAGTTCAGTTCAGTTCAGTTCAGTTCAGTTCAGTTCAGTTCAGTTCAGTTCAGTTCAGTTCAGTTCAGTTCAGTTCAGTTCAGTTCAGGTAATTTCAGTTCAATTCAGTTCAGTTCAGTTTAGTTCAGTTCAGTTCAGTTCAGTTCAGTTCAGTTCAGTTCAGTTCAGTTCAGTTCAGTTCAGTTCAGTTAATTTCAGTTCAGTTCAGTTCAGTTCAGTTCAGTTCAGTTCAGTTCAGTTCAGTTCAGTTCAGTTCAGTTCAGTTTAGTTCAGTTCAGTTCAGTTCAGTTCAGTTCAGCCCAACCCATTTCCGTCCCACTAGATTTCGTCTATTTCAATTCTCATCAGTCCTGTGATGACCAGTTTTATACAATGCGGCCAAGATTAAATCGGTACGTGCCGCACAGCATTTTCTAGTAGAGAAAGGTTCTGATCATCAAAGTTCTGCGTGCGAACGTGCGTGCGCCCGTCAATGTACACCGGCTATCATGAATTAACCTAAACAAACACACCCGTGAATATCAGACCAACTCGAACGAAATTAGTTGGATAGCATCGGATCAGTTGAATCCACGTCAGACATGATCAGTCGAGTGTTCTGTGCTCTATAAGCCCATCTGGGAAGGTCAAGTCAATACAATGACAGAAGCGAAATGATATGAACTTAGCTTGTCAAATTTACAGGCAACATTTTGAAATCATAAGATACTCGATCGACAATACATGGACAATGAGAATTGTTTAACGACGTTGAATTCACAAAAGAATCATATTAGATGGAGTGAAATGGAATTGGAACTATTTAGGAATGTACAATAGATTATATTTCACTGTAAACACCCATCAACTACTTGCCCGTTTTCAAAGTCTCCTAATTGTGTGCATGTATTTACAGCATAATCAAATAAACACTTGATTTCTTAGGTGAATTGACAAGTAGGTAGAAAATACGAGCTCACTTTGTGCGGTCGCCGTGGAGCTGGGTCCAGGTGTCTCACTGGACACGGTTGCGGTTGGTGTGCTGCCTGTGAACATTTGATTTCACAAAGTGTAAAGAAGTTAGACAATCAGTTTCAGTGTTACCGTATAAACGGTATTAACGAAATATAGCGAGGTGGAAAATATGAGTTCACGTTCTGATCAACATAGCGTAAGTCTGATAGGTCAGTACCGTTCGATTCCCATCAGATCAGTTTGAAAATGGCCGATCATTATTAGCGGTACGTGACCAAGCAAATCAATCTGCAACATAGGTGCACGTGCGTGCGTGCGGGCGTGCGTACGTGCAACCTTGCGTGCGGACGCCAATGTACACCGACTATCATGAATTAACCTAAACGAACACACCCGTGAATACCAGACCAACTCGAACGAAATTAGTTGGATAGCATCGGATCAGTTGAATCCACGTCAGACATGATCAGTCGAGTGTTCTGTGCTCCATCAGCACATCTCAGACGGTCACGTTGATACAATGATAGAAGCTGAATAATTCAAACGTTTGAACTCGCATTGCAAATCGTGCAAAACTCGACCACTTCCACGTGCACGATGAGAATCGTAAAATGACGTTGGATTCACAAATGAATCATATTGGATGGAATGGAATGAAATGAATTTGGAATTCACGAAAATATGAACCACATTCTATACTGCATCGCAAACACGCATCAACTCTATCGCCAATTTATGTCTTCCTATTGTGCATATGTATGGTATAGTATAAACAACTAAAGACGTACTAATTTAGTTGAATAGACAGGTGGGTGGAAAATATGAGCTCACTTTCTGTGGTCATTGTGGAGCTGGGTGTAGATGTCTCACTGGACGTGGTGACGCCCGCTGTGCTGCCTGTGAATATATAGTTGAACAAAGCAGAGAGAATTTAGGCAATCAGTTTCAGTCGACAAGTGTGTCGTGTCAGTTCTCGCAGTTGTTTGATCGCAATTCGATCACCAATTTGGCCACGCTAATGCACGAATGCAGGCACTCGAAAATCTATTGGAGATCTGTACGCGTGCAAATCAGATTTCTCCGTCCGAATAAACTAGAAAAACCATACCTGATCAGTTCAATTTCATTCATATCACGCTTGTTCAGAAAAACAGGACGTTAGTTTGATGGAGATGATTTCTCCTCAGTTCAGTTCAGTTCAGTTCAGTTCATTTCAGTTCAGTTCAGTTCAGTTCAGTTCAGTTCAGTTCAGTTCAGTTCAGTTCAGTTCACTTCAGTTCAGTTCATTTCAGTTCAGTTCAGTTCAGTTCAGTTCAGTTCAGTTCAGTTAATTTCAGTTCAGTTCAGTTCAGTTCAGTTCAGTTCAGTTAATTTCAGTTCAGTTCAGTTCAGTTCAGTTCAGTTCAGTTCAGTTCAGTTCAGTTCAGTTCAGTTCAGTTCAGTTCAGTTCAGTTCAGTTCAGTTCAGTTCAGTTCAGTTCAGTTCAGTTCAGTTCAGTTCAGTTCAGTTCAGTTCAGTTCAGTTCAGTTCAGTTCAGTTTAGTTCAGTTCAGTTCAGTTCAGTTCAGTTCAGTTCAGTTCAGATCAGATCAGTTCAGTTCAGTTCACTTCAGTTCAGTTCAGTTCAGTTCAGTTCAGTTCAGTTCAGTTCAGTTCAGTTCAGTTCAGTTCAGTTCAGTTCAGTTCAGTTCAGTTCAGTTCAGTTCACTTCAGTTCAGTTCAGTTCAGTTCAGTTCAGTTCAGTTCAATTCAGTTTAGTTCAGTTCAGTTCAGTTCAGTTCAGTTCAGTTCAGTTCAGTTCAGTTCAGTTCAGTTAATTTCAGTTCAGTTCAGTTCAGTTCAGTTCAGTTCATTTTAGTTCAGTTCAGTTCAGTTCAGTTCAGTTCAGTTCAGTTCAGTTCAGTTCAGTTCAGTTCAGTTCAGTTCAGTTCAGTTCAGTTTAGTTTAGTTCAGTTCAGTTCAGTTCAGTTCAGTTCAGTTCAGTTCAGATCAGATCAGTTCAGTTCAGTTCAGTTCAGTTCAGTTCAGTTCAGTTCAGTTCAGTTCAGTTCAGTTCAGTTCAGTTCAGTTCAGTTCAGTTCAGTTCAGTTCAGTTCAGGTAATTTCAGTTCAATTCAGTTCAGTTCAGTTTAGTTCAGTTCAGTTCAGTTCAGTTCAGTTCAGTTCAGTTCAGTTCAGTTCAGTTCAGTTCAGTTCAGTTAATTTCAGTTCAGTTCAGTTCAGTTCAGTTCAGTTCAGTTCAGTTCAGTTCAGTTCAGTTCAGTTCAGTTCAGTTCAGTTTAGTTCAGTTCAGTTCAGTTCAGTTCAGTTCAGCCCAACCCATTTCCGTCCCACTAGATTTCGTCTATTTCAATTCTCCTCAGTCCTGTGATGACCAGTTTTATACAATGCGGCCAAGATTAAATCGGTACGTGCCGCACAGCATTTTCTAGTAGAGAAAGGTTCTGATCATCAAAGTTCTGCGTGCGAACGTGCGTGCGCCCGTCAATGTACACCGGCTATCATGAATTAACCTAAACAAACACACCCGTGAATATCAGACCAACTCGAACGAAATTAGTTGGATAGCATCGGATCAGTTGAATCCACGTCAGACATGATCAGTCGAGTGTTCTGTGCTCTATAAGCCCATCTGGGAAGGTCAAGTCAATACAATGACAGAAGCGAAATGATATGAACTTAGCTTGTCAAATTTACAGGCAACATTCTGAAATCATAAGATACTCGATCGACAATACATGGACAATGAGAATTGTTTAACGACGTTGAATTCACAAAAGAATCATATTAGATGGAGTGAAATGGAATTGGAACTATTTAGGAATGTACAATAGACTATATTTCACTGTAAACACCCATCAACTACTTGCCCGTTTTCAAAGTCTCCTAATTGTGTGCATGTATTTACAGCATAATCAAATAAACACGTGATTTCTTAGGTGAATTGACAAGTAGGTAGAAAATACGAGCTCACTTTGTGCGGTCGCCGTGGAGCTGGGTCCAGGTGTCTCACTGGACACGGTTGCGGTTGGTGTGCTGCCTGTGAACATTTGATTTCACAAAGTGTAAAGAAGTTAGACAATCAGTTTCAGTGTTACCGTATAAACGGTATTAACGAAATATAGCGAGGTGGAAAATATGAGTTCACGTTCTGATCAACATAGCGTAAGTCTGATAGGTCAGTACCGTTCGATTCCCATCAGATCAGTTTGAAAATGGCCGATCATTATTAGCGGTACGTGACCAAGCAAATCAATCTGCAACATAGGTGCACGTGCATGCGTGCGGGCGTGCGTACGTGCAACCTTGCGTGCGGACGCCAATGTACACCGACTATCATGAATTAACCTAAACGAACACACCCGTGAATACCAGACCAACTCGAACGAAATTAGTTGGATAGCATCGGATCAGTTGAATCCACGTCAGACATGATCAGTCGAGTGTTCTGTGCTCCATCAGCACATCTCAGACGGTCACGTTGATACAATGATAGAAGCTGAATAATTCAAACGTTTGAACTCGCATTGCAAATCGTGCAAAACTCGACCACTTCCACGTGCACGATGAGAATCGTAAAATGACGTTGGATTCACAAATGAATCATATTGGATGGAATGGAATGAAATGAATTTGGAATTCACGAAAATATGAACCACATTCTATACTGCATCGCAAACACGCATCAACTCTATCGCCAATTTATGTCTTCCTATTGTGCATATGTATAGTATAGTATAAACAACTAAAGACGTACTAATTTAGTTGAATAGACAGGTGGGTGGAAAATATGAGCTCACTTTCTGTGGTCATTGTGGAGCTGGGTGTAGATGTCTCACTGGACGTGGTGACGCCCGCTGTGCTGCCTGTGAATATATAGTTGAACAAAGCAGAGAGAATTTAGGCAATCAGTTTCAGTCGACAAGTGTGTCGTGTCAGTTCTCGCAGTTGTTTGATCGCAATTCGATCACCAATTTGGCCCCGCTTATGCTCGAATCCATGTCCTGGAATTTCGTTTGGATATTTTTTCTACACCTTATTCTGGAAATTGCTTTAGGCTTTTTGTTCTAGCTGATGTACATCTAAGCACGTCATCTTTCATTTGAATGAATTTGATTTTCAATTCGTTTTCTAGTTTTTTGCTTCCCCATCTCATTGAATTTCGGCGTTTCAGTGAATATCATTTTTGGCTGTTCTCTTTTTTTGCCAGTATATTTCAGAAATTTCTTTTTCTGTTTTTTGTGCCTTCAACGTATTTTGATTATGATCTCCTTTGCCTTTCATTGTGTTTTTTTTACCGTTTCTCACTCCGTATTTTAAATTTTGTGTTTTCCGTTTATGCTCATTTCCGAACTCACTTTCTGTGGTTGACGTTCCGGAGGTGTTTTCCGTTGCTGCGCTGCTGCTCGGATTCATTGTACCTATTCAATTGTGAAACGAAAAATTATATAACAGTTCTCATATTCTCCTATCTGGTCAATATAAGTGATACTGTCCCTAGGTTTGACCATTGCGGTTGTTATACGTTCATTTGAGATAAGTTCAATATAACCAAATAAAAACCACATAAATTCATTCGCGATAAATTTAGATGAGAACAGAGAAGATCGCTTCAAATCAGAGCTTGTAATGTACAGTCGATATTTTTCATTCTGTCCATGCATTACCAATACCAATTCAGCTTTCTGTTTAGACAGGTAGCAAACTTTCAGGTGCCGCAGAGTAATCTTGTGAATACAATGCACCTCAGCCCTTACATTCATTTTTCCCTCATTTTATCATAGATGTGATAGTTATTCTGATACAGTTTTGTTTAGAAGCTCACCTACATTGAACTTCACAAGAGTACAAAAATTCATTTCATTTACCAATGTATTACTTGCAAACTCTTAGCGTTTTCATCGCAGCTTCTCGAAGTAAGTAAGTTTGAATAAATTTTCACTCCTGTGTAATATCTATGTACATCCGCTCTTGGTTGATTTCAAATCACACACCTGGTCTATGATAAAAGGCAATACCACAAAATATTATATCCGCTTGGGAAGAAATCACAAAACAGTACCCACTTTCAGAGTGTGTACTGGTACCTCATAAGACTTCAATACCTGTAATACTTACTCATTCCACACAAAGAAATGAACACCACTAGTAAAGAAGTGAGAGTTTTCATATTGATTGTATCACCTCAGTGGGTCAGATGATGGAGAACTGAAGGAAACGCTGTAAACTGGAGTCATCATTTGTTTCTTTATATACCTTCAAATTGAATCGACTACAGACACTCAATAAGTTTTTTATTTTCTAAACATAAACCATATCCTCAAATAAGTTAGTATCAAATCTGCAAATGTCAACAACTCACGTTCCTCTTGCACGTTTATTTGAGTGGGCGTTTTTGCATCACCTTTTGTTGCTGAACCATGAAAATCACTGGGGATTGGATGAGAGTTTGTGAATTCGCACCATTGTAAGTAAATCTATTCATTCGTGGTGATCACTTATTATTGTGATATCGATAAAAAAGGCATACACGAAAATTCATCCGCGCATGTGACTGTTTTCATGAACTCTGGATGACAGTTTTCACCAGGAATCAAGTTGAAACATGATCCGATGAATTTAGAAGTGCACGGTCATGAGTAATGTGAATAACATTGGAACGGAATACACCCTGAACATAGTCGTGCAAATGCCCGTCAAGCACTTGAAAAAACCAGTGTATTCTTGTTGAGCCATGTTTTCTGACGCGTTTATCGCTTTGGAAAATCGAGGTGCAGTTAAGGGAATACTGCCAGAATACAAAATCTTGAACTCACTCCTAACACGTTGGAGTGTCTGATGTTTCTACAGGAAATTGCCTTGCCAAATTCATCTATTCGACGATAAGAGTGTTCACTGAGAACGCAATTTGCTACGAATACAAACTAGTAAAGCTCCGAATCACGAAATTCAACAATCGGTACTTTTGCGAGAATCCCTCACTGGGGAGAGATATTAGAAAAATAACCACCGGAACAAGACTGGATGGGATTGGATGATAGTGATCCACGGCGCACCCTACTGGGATTCTTCAAAATCCCGGAAATGTGCTCCGGGAAGCTTGACGCAATGCCGGTGACACTGTATGAACCATGATCCCGTCATCTTATGACTTGTTGTTCCATGATTGAAGTTTTGAATTCAACATGTTTCACTTGTTGCGAAACGTTACGCAAAACCCCAAAGCAATATTTTCGGCCCATTTGCTGACAACTAATAGGGACAACGAACATAAAGCGGTTTGGTTTGAAAGTTTGAGGAAATGATTCTCTCTGACCCATGGAACATAATTCTAGTGTGTCAATCTGAATTATAAACGTATATCTACGTGAAGTTGTAAACAAAAACAACGCCTAAGTCAACAGAATAATATTAATAACCTCGAACAAACATCACCATAAGAGACTGGAATTATCTCGATCAACCGAAGCATTCATGTTAGACCATAGCTTTGTTCCCATAAATCACTCTGACGAGAGCACGAACAGACCAGCTGTTGTTGGTGAGTACGTGGTAAATATACATCACGGTTATTTCGAAAATATGGAAGGTATGCAATAATTGGTGGCATGTTCCCGATTGATTTATTAAGAAGCTGAAACAAACTTCGTATTGATTCGGGCCAAATAAAGAAGTACTTCTGTAAATAAAGCTGTACTTCACGTTCTGATTTTAACAGGTACGCTTTTCAAGGTACTCCTTTGCGCTTGATGGCGTATCCTATAGGTTCTCATCAATATAACGAAGATAATTCGTTAGTTTCCGTGCCACAGTACATTTTTTAGTCCTTCACTTCTGGATATTTGCGAATGTGAAAAAACCACCCGACACTGATGCGGTGAATGGCCCTTTTTGTGTCATATTTGCCCTGAAAAGATGAAGCTTACCAAACATATGCGATGATAGAAGTTAAAAAAGGTTTACATAAGGAAGAGTAATACGGAACACACAACATGTTTTCCTGTAGTTAAGTAGCTATTGACAATCTTTCAGTAAACTATGACAATTTTTTAGTAGCAACAGTGTATTACTTTGCGATCACAACCCAAGGTACAGTGACCAACTCTCTTCACATTCCCATACCGAACAAGGTCAAATCACGCGAGTTATCGGTCTAAGTAACGGGACTTGGTAGCCAAGCGCGGATCACTGAGTTTGATGCGCAAGTACTACAATGAAAATCTCTTTCAGAATGTTAACATATCGAAGAAAAACACTCTCATAAATGGTATTCAGTTTTTAGTGGATTCAATAAAGGTAAAAGGGTGTCTGCCACGAGCAGCATAAGAAACGGGCCAAATTTGATCTATCGCTTCATTGCATTCTCGCAATAATATTCTAAGCATACGTTCACTGAAGATCTGATCTTTTAGGAGACAGCAAACCAGAGCTACGCTTTCTTTTGAAAGTCATTTGACAGTTCCCTTAAACAAAGTGAAAACACCCTCGACGAGATTAGAGAATGGACTCTAAGGCGGGAGATACCGAACAGCATGTCCGGTTGCCAGCGGTGTCTCACCCACCCGTTAGTGAACTGGAGCAGTTTCTAACAGAAAAACACTATTCAAGTTTGGTTGTTCAGCTAATACTTTCAAAGAACACTTTTCCCAGAAAGCTGATGGAAACGTCAACGTTCATTTGGAAGTGCCGTTCATGATATATCATACTCATCACATCAAAGCAAACAAAAACCTTGTGGTGTGCACCGTCACCTTATGATAAAGCCTTGGTGCATGGCTTGCCTTTCATTGATCGCACTTGTGTCCACGAGCACCAAATGCTAGGATTGGTCTCATATATGTAGTATATAAGACGGAGCAACAATGCTCCTGCAAACACATCGGTTATTGCGCTCGTCTCTTTGTGTCATCGGTTCAGTTTCGTCGTGGTTAAACAAAAGCCATTGGAATAAATTAGTCGACAGATTCTGGTGAATCAGCTTCCTCTTTTTCTAATTTTCACTCATAGTAACTGTATGATTCTTCCTTGCCAATGAACACAGTAACACTAATAATTCATCGGTAAATCTATCTTCTGCGAATTTTTCTTAAGTCTGGGTTATATAAACCGTTTGGTGGGGACTCTGCAGGTTCTTATGTTGATTCCAAGATGGTTGGGATGAAATTGCTGACGTTCACCTTTCCTTGCACACTGGACAGTTTCTCTGCGGTCTTAATCAATTATTGTTTTTCACTTGGGATGCGAATCTGTATGAACCTGTTTGCTTAGGTCGATTTACTCAAGTTTTTCATCGGCAATTCTGCAGTGAGTTGGGAAATGAACGCAATCAAACATTCATTGATCGCCCAACCGTTCATGTCACACGTACAAAGAAACCAAGTCCCATAACTAGGGACAGTGACTCACAAGTGATTTGTTCTTTTTTGGTATGGGTGTGCCTAATGGGTTTGGTTATTCTGTCGTGGGTTTCGGTAGCTAAATAACAGTTAGTGGGTGCAAAATGATCGCCAGAGGCTTTACACGACGGGGCAGGTACCGTATCTCCATTCGAAGTTGTCGGGCATCTCTAGCTTTCACTGCGGTCAATATCTGAACAAGCTTATCTTGGCGATTTGGAACAGCCCGGGTGGGAACTGGGTGGAGCAGTCGTAGGGGACGTGCCTCCGAGGCGAAAGGGACCGGGTTCAAACGCTGGGTGTGGCAGAGGATATGTACCGCTGATGAGCTCCAACCACTATAAAACTTGGGTTCGGCACATACGGCTGGCAGGTTCGTCAGACGACCTGGGGCTTTGGCGGTAAAAGTGCAGTCCA